GTCAAAGAAATCCTCACAACACCCATGTGAATTGAATAAGGAATATCATCTCCATTTTACAGATGGGCAAACTAAAACACTGAGGCCCAGATCCACAAAGGAACTTAGGGGTATAAGTGCAGGGTTTAGTTTGGGTTTAAGTCTATGTCCCAGTTCTAGGCTCAACTGTGGTCTACAAAACTCCCACTGAATCCTGTAGGTGCCTAAACTTACTTGGCGCCTAAATTTTCAGGTTAAAAGTTCCCTCAGCACCTAAGTTTCTCCCTCTGAGCATGCATGCTAGGAGTCCAGACATCTATCTCCTGCCTAAGCCCCAGAGATATCCACAAATAGATGGAAGACAGGCATCCGTTCGCATATCTCATGTGTGGGGCCAGATCTGGTAGATGTGCTTAGAGGCCACGTACCAGATTAGGCCCCATTCAAATGAATAACTTTTAGCCCCGTGATTTGTACTCACCTGGGATGAGGGAGATGCAGGTTTAATTCCCTTCAAGCAAAGGGGAAGAAAGAACATTAACAAGCGTCTCCCACCTCTCCGGGGTGCTCTAACTTCTGAGCTATGAAATATTCTGATATGGGCTTTCTTCAGTCTCTCCTATTGAAGCTGTTCCTCTGTATATAAATATTTAGTCATTGGAGCAGGGGGTTGGGACCCTGAGTCTCCCACCTCCTAGGTGGGTACCCTACCCACAAGGCTAGACAGTAATTTTCTCTCTCTCTCTCTCACCCAGTGACTCTTAAGTATTTCTACACAGTGGAACAGCTTCAACAGGAGAAACTGAGGGACCCCTACATCAGATGATCCTGTAGCTCAGTGGTTAAAGCTCTCTCCTGGAGATCCCTGTTCAAATCCTTTCTCGGCCCGACGGGTGGGTTGAACCTGGGTCTCCCACAACCCAGCTAAGTGCTTTAACCAGTGGGCTAAAAGTTATACAATAAGATCATCTTCTGGCCATTTTGTGCAGTGAGGCAGGAGCCTAATTAATTCTCATAAGAAACAATTTAGGCGCCTAAGCCACTGGACTCCAGGAGAGGGGATTCCCAACTCAAGCTTTGTGGATCACAGTGTTGTTCCTGTCATTTTCTAGGTGCCTAAATGTTAGGTGTTGCAACATGAAGCATTGCAACACCCCAGAGAGATTAGTCATTTGCACAAGGCCACTTTGAGTCAATTAAAACATCCAGATTAGGAATATGAGGATTCCTGAATCCCAGCTCTGTACTCAACCAATGGACTCTGTTGCCTTTCTGCATGTACACAGAATGTTATTTTCTTGGGAATTATTTGTAACTACAATTTGACTTGAAAAGAACATATTAATTACACATCAAACAAATACAAAACTGATCTCCTAAAATGTATATCTTGAAATTGTTGGAGAACACATTTTAAAAATCCCAAACATTATGGCCGATCCATTCAGGCTTTCATCAGAACAATGCTAGATTATTCTTTTTTAAAAAGTTTAACATCCATACAGTCTGCAACATAACATGGCAACTGTTTGCTTAGGAAAAGAGGACAGCTTTATGGTGATGAGAAACTGGAAAGAACTTTGTGATAACACGACTGCTACAGGTTCTTTAATGACCTTATGCCTATGTGTGGCAGGTGAATATGTTGGGATCAAAAGCAAAATAAGATGGGACAGATATTTATAGTGTAAAGGAGTATGTTAGTGTATAGACTATTAGCATATGGACTATATATCTGATGAGAATATATGAATGTTAGTTCATTTAAACGTTATGTAAGTAAACTAAACAAAAGTCCTTTAGTGTAAAATTCTCCTTTCTCATAACTAAATTACAAAGAAAATATTCGGCTTCTGAAACAAGGAAACAATAGTTTGTTTATAACAGAGCATGTTGACTAATCATGATTGTTTAACCATCTTTTGTTTGTTGAATAGGATTATTATAATATACATAGACCCTGATCATGTAATTAGATCGGTGCACAAAGACCTCTGGGCTTGCTTGAACCCCATTTAAGTATACCATATACCACTTTTAAGCAACCATATAATCTTCCAATACCTTTATAAAAGAGTTGAGTGGAATACAATATATATATATATAATTTATACCTCACTGACCTCAATGGAGTTACACCAGGGATTAATGTGCCACCCAACTACTACAGAAATGCCTTGTTGCCTTTTACAGAAGTTGCCTTGTTGGAGTTGGAAGGACAGACAAAGGTCAAAAGAGGCAACCAACCAGAGAAAGAGAGAAAAATAGAGAAGCTAGGCGACTACTGAAAGAGAAACAATGAAAACATGGCATAAAGATTGGGAAATCTACTCTCAAATCTACTCTCAAAGCACAAGTTTGCTTCCTATCAAAATTAAATTCTTCTAACCCTGAGATGGCCTTCTCCTAAACTGTCCCTTCTTTCTACTATTCTCCACCGATATAATAGGCAGGGTCACCAGCCCTATCACAATACGTTTGCTTTTCTCTTTCATTGCAGCAAATAAAACAAGGTAATTAATGTTTGTTCCAAATCTCTACTGGCCTGGGGTACCAACAGGGAATGGAAGTGAACTTAGGTTTTTTGCATGGCAGTGAAGTCTAGAATACTGTTGATGAGACTGACCTACTTCTATTTTTGTACCAATTATAAGAATATCCTCCATAGTATTTTAAAATCAGACATCAAATTTAGCTTGTAATAAGAAACATCTGTATTCTGCCATAAAATGCTGGGACTTTTTTCTTAGCATAACCTCTAAGGAAAAGACTATTTTTAAGGACTCTGAAATGAGTTATTAATATTTCCCTCTCTCTAGTGATGGTGTTTTCATTATCATAAATTTTGAGTGAGAGGCCCTGATTAAGGTTCAGGAGGAGATGCACGTTCAAATTCATGTTTTCTGCCAAGGATCTGTGGATTCTACTTCAATGGCCCATAATGTGGCTTTTTGATTAGATGTTTGTTTTGCTTCTCTATTTTGGGGGAACAATATAAAAGTAATCTTACAAACTCTCCTGTATCATTAACAAAATCTTGACTCTTACTCTTGGGAATTTACCATTTAGATTCAAATTAAGCCCTCACCCATCCTCTTAATTTTGAAGGGTGACCCTCATTTTTTAAACCCATATTTCTCTCGGATCTGCATGAACCTGCTGTCATTTCACTTCCAACTACTCTAGAATACTTACATGAATTTTAAAAAACCCTGAACTTATAGGAAGTATTTGTATTCCTGACCTCAGCTCATTTTAATCTTCCTGCAGTAAAAATGTTATCATGTCTTCTATTTAGAGTCTAGGCAGCAGGGTGAGATCAGAGTACTGGGAATCTTGTTGGTTTTGGTTTGCATGGGATTCAACCAAATGTCTTGTCTTTTTGTTCCATTGTATGCTTTACTCACCCTCAATTTTGCTTTCATTCTGAAGCATCTAACCATAACCTGGTCTAGGGTGGAAACCATCTGAAACCACAGACTTTCCATGTGAGACCTTAACTCAGCACAAGTTTGTGAATGCAGACTGACTTTAAAAGGCTTGCTCAGCTTTAGAAGACTTGAGAAGTCATGTGGTATAGTGAATACAGCTGTCCTCTGCAACAGCCACCACTGTTATTATTTGTACTGTCAAGTATCAGAGGGGTAGCCGTGTTAGTCTGAATCTGTAAAAAGCAACAGAGGGTCCTGTGGCAGAAGTATTGGGAGCATAAGCTTTCGTGGGTAAGAACCTCACTTCTTCAGATGCAAGTGAATTTGTACTGTGGTAGCTCCCAGATGACTCAATCAGGGTTGGGGTGCCATTAAGCTGCATGTTGTACAAATACAGATGGGGCCATTGTCCTTTATGCAAAGAAGTTACGTTCTGAGACCCCCAATCTGCAGCTGAATCCACATGGACAGCTCTTTGCCCCAGAGCGGTGATGCAATAGGATTTTCACAGGAGTAAGGGATTGGTGTCTAGGATTCTTAAGAGGAGTGCACATGAGAAAGAAGGGAACACTGAAATACACCTTTACATATCTACAGTTCACTCTGGTATTTTGTTACTTTTCCAATTTATAAACTTTTCACTGGAGCCAACACTCAGTGCTCTCCATGGCAGCGGTGGGGCGAGTGACACACTTGGCCATACCCAAGGAGGCAGATAAATCCCCCCTGCTCATCTGAATCCTTTGCAGTCGCCGCACAAGCGCTCAGGCATGCATCGCAGAACAGGTGGCAGCTTCCCCGCAGGGCACCTGTGCGTGCAGCAAAGGCAGAGCCTGGTCCTGAGTGGGGTGAGCCCCCCCGCCCCTGACACGCAGGGGCATCACCGTGCCTGGCCCAGGGCGGAGTTGCGGGCAGGATGCCCCAGGGAGCTGCAAACAGGGCGAATCGGGGGGGGGGGCAGGGGACAATTGCAGGCCTGGAGCTCGGGGGCGCCACCAAAACGTGGCCTGTGTAAGTAAAGTACAAAGGGAGGGGGCGGGGCCCCCCAGGTTTCGATTTCTCCACAGGCGCCTGGCAGCCACACGGTGACCCCCCCGCCCCCAGGGCCCCGCGATCCCTCACGGGGGGGGGTCACACCCTCTTTCCTGGGCCAGGTGCCCGGCCCCTCGCTCCGCATGAGGCTGCGGCTCGGCTACGCGCCGGCCCAGGACAGAAACGAGCCGCGCACCGCTACGGGAGCAGAGCTGACCGAGCGCGCCCCAGACACCGGGAGCGCGCAGTGCGCCTGCGCCGAGGAGGCTAGGGGCGGGGAGGGGACCGGAGGGGGCGGCTTCGCGCCTACTGACGCGGAGGGTTGCCAGGGTGCGTGGCGCGCGCTGAGCGGTCCCGCAAGGAACGTCGGGGGGCGGGGCGAGGCAGGCGCGCGCCTGGGTGCACGCCTTGCGCCGGCGACGTCGGGCGCTTGGTCCCGACGCGCGCGCTACCTCTCGGTGAGGCTGGGCCTGGGTGTGTCGCCTGCGGAGGGCCCCCCCCCTCACCGCACCGCATGCGCAGAAGAGGCAGCCCCGCCTTCAGCCCTCACTCCGTCCCTCCCTACCCCGGCTCCTCTCCCATCCTTCTCGCGTTCCCCTCCCGTGGCACCCGCCGCCGCGCCGCGCCGCTCGCTCCCCCTCCCCCGGTCCCTCGCCGCTTCCTCCTGTCTGTGCCATGGATGGGTGAGTACCTGCCTGGCCCCCGGGGGCGCGGCCCGCCGGGGCGGGGCTGGGCTCGGCTCGGGGCGGGGGGGGCGAGCCCCGCTGCTCCCCGCGCCCACCGGCCGCTTTCCAGCCGCGGAGCTGGGGGGGATGCGGCCGGGCAGCGGCGGGCTCCCCTGGGGGCCGGGCGGGGCGGGGTGGCAGGTGGGGGCTGATCCTGTGTCTGGCATGACTCGCCTCCCCCGGGCTGGTGCGGCCCCGCCCGGTGTCTGAGGCGAGGCGGGTCTCGGGGGCTCCCGGGGGGGGGGGGGGCGGGCCGGCCCCCCGGGGGCGGGGGGGGGGGCCGCGGTTCTCTTTGGGGCCCGGGGGGGGGGCTTGAACTGGGCGCGGGGCCGTGAGCCCGGGGGGCCGAGCCGCCGCTTGCCCCGGTGCCTCCCTCTTCGATAAGGCTGGTGCGCGGCCGTGTCACCCGGCCGCCGCGGCCCCTCCTGCCCCGGGGCGGGGGTCGGTTTGCAGCGGGAGCTGCTGCGGCTGTGGTTGGCAAGGGGAAGTGCCGCGCACGGGAAGCTCGGCTGGGCTGCGGGTCCCCTCGGTCAGCAGAGGGGCGAGAAACCAGGCGAACAGGAAGGAAGCGTGCGCCGTGCTAGCGAAGCCAGCCGCTCCGGACGGGCTAAACCGGGTGCTGGCAGGGAGGGGCTGTGTGTGCGGATGGTAACACCAAGGAGTGGAGCCTCCCAGGCTGCGGGTTATTGTCGGAGCACATGATCGTTTCATGGAGTAGGCATCAGGCAGCGTCCCTGCCTGGCCTTAGGTTAAAGGGTTGAATATAGTCTGATTTTCAGGGCAATGTTTGTGATTTTGAGTTTTCTCCGTTGGCGGAGACTGCACCTTATGTTGATGTAAACAACCGTTGGGGATCCCTAAACCTGTCAAAGCTATCGTTTTGATTTTAGGCTGGTGTAGTTCCATGGACTTGGACTTAGTTACTCCTGATTTGCAGTGGTGAGCGGAGTGACTTTATATAATGTTGTTTTCCCCCTGTCGAATAAGATTTCATGGTAGATTATACGAATGTTTTAAATGTTCCCAACAATTAACTTGGACTCTTGCTAGATATATCACAGAGATCGGCCTCTTAAGTACCTTCTTGCCACTTCAGAGTAAACATAATTAAACAGACACATGCTATTTTGAATTCACAATTCTGAATTGTAAAGTGACAATTTAATAAGACTGTAATTCAAAGCTACAATTTAAGTCCATACCTTCATGTTAGCAATTTTTTTGTATGAAGCATGAATTTCTGGATTCTGGAATGTTGAACTACAATCACTATGTTACTGGAGCACGATAGGAGTATTGCTGTTGAAACAGAGTTCAATGTTTGAATGAAGCATAACTGGTTCACCATATTATTACAAATTGCTCTCTAGCCTTATGAATCTTAGTTATATACTTTAAATACCATTTTATAAAATAACTTTAAGGCCTTGCTCCTGCAAACACTTACGGTGTACTTTTATGCAGTGAGTAGTCCTTTTGATTTCAGTTGGACTACTCACATGTCTAATTAAGCACATGCATATATGTTCACAGAATTGGAGTATTAATCTGTATACGATTACAACAAATTTTAAAGGGCGGCTATAAATTCAAAACCTAGTTGGTTTCAAAAATAAAATTAAAATTACTTGTGAGTTTCCTTGACAATTTTGGTTTTTAAACAAAAAAGAAAATATGATTACAAACTGGAGAAATATTTTGTATGATTACATTGAATTTCCATAATCATATATGTATGTTATAACAACAGTAGGAAGAAAAATGCTGTGGAAGTCTGACTTTACGTACATGGTGTTACTTCAAAGCCAGTCCCATTCCTCTGTCAATTTAAAATCACATCTAATTTTTTTATTTTTTTTTTTAACTTCGAGTACTTACAGGTAAGACCTAAGAATACTGAAACAAATTATGGAAATTCTATATTTGTACAGCACCTAACACAAGGAAGCCCAAATTGGTTATAGTCTTCTAGTGCTACATAAATGTTAATAATAGAGTTGGCAGTCTTCCAACATAATGTTCTTTTGGAAAATGCTGATTCATCTAAAGCTACATGTTTTGCAGAAATGTGTGGGTTTTGACAACATATTGTTAAATGGAGCTGAAGGTTTTGACCTCATTGATACGGAACTTACGATTTTCTTCTTTGAAAAAACAAATTTTTAAAAATTTGAAAAGTAAAACAAATATTTTGTTCTGATTGATCAGAATGATTTTTGGGGGGGGGATTTTGTTTTAAAAGGGAATTTAGGGTTGTGGTGGTTTTTTTTTTTTTTTTTTTTTTTTGTTCTGTTCCAAAACAGACCCTCCCCCCCATCATAGAATTTCATATGAAACAAAAAATTCTGGGTTCCCACCTAGGTCTGGGCATTTTCTGTCTTTTTTTCACTTTGTATAGTTAGTTTTTCCCTATGTAGATTTTAAGGCTGCATTAGGAAGGGGAGGTGGGAAACGGAAGTAGTACTAGGTAGTAGATGTATAATATCTGAAAATACTTCTAATTCAATTTTTAAGTGACTAGATTTCAAGTTGAACAGCATCCTTTTCTGTGTGTAAATAGTGAACAGTATACAAATTGTATAGGTTTGAATAATTTTTAATTGTATTTGTGTAACTAACTGTATTTGAAGCTTCTAATAAAGTGGAAAGATTTTGTTTTGCAGATGATAGTCTTTTATTACAGCCTTTAGAATAGTGTGTGACACACAACATAGTTTCAGTAGCTAAGTACAGCTGGGCTAGTTAAAGGTGAATTCCTTTTTTTGCACATTAGTTCCTGCTTTTAACAACCTCATTTGTCTTTGGTAATAAGGGATCTTGGGGTTGTTAATATCTGCTTAGATTGTCAAAACTTAGATGACTTTGTTTCCACTTTTTGGGTGCCCATTTGAGACTTAAAGGAAGTTTTATATTTAGTGGGCACCTACAAGCACTCTGAAAATTGGGCCTCTTGTGAGTTTCTCAGGTTGAAACCCCAAAATTGGTAGTTACTTTTGAAAACTTAAGCCTTCAAGAAAGGGATAATAACTTAAAAATTTAAACTAAATCCAATGCTAGCCTGGTTTTATTCTTAAATTCTTGAGAACTTAACAGAAAAATCTTTATATAAATCTTCAAAATGATTAAAATATTTTATAGCACTGTTTGTTGAGAAAGAAGTTGCATTTTATATGTTGAAGTAGTTACGCAAGCTATACATACAGGAGGAACTTCCTTTCTATGGCATACTAAGGTTAATTTACACCTAAAACCACTGCTTAGTGAATGCAAGGTTATACTAAATCAGAGAGGATTCGTGTGTTCCTCTATGAAGTTAGGAACTTGATCTTTGCAACATTGTTCTGATGCGTGACAGCCAGAAGGAGTAACAGATTCCCTCTTTCATTGTCCCAGCGGAATGTAGTGAAGGGGAAATTGCATTTTAATTACTTTAGATCCAGTGGTGAGATTAAAAGAAAAATATAAATCACTTCATCCATGATTGATTTTTTTTTTCTCTACCAAACACAATAGGAAAATACGTATTTTTAAATAAGCTCAATTACTTTAGTTGCAACAATTGTTGCAACTAAAGTAATTGAGCTTATTTAAAAACATTGGAACAATACTGGAACAAGAAATACTGGAACAATAAAAATGAACTGAGTAAGCACAGTTATTAGGTATTCATTTACAAGATACATCCAGCCAGTTCGTTACTGGGTTCAGTCTCTAGCTGCAACTGCTTCTAGCTGAAAAGGCTATTGAACTCTGCCAGACAGAATGTTCTAGCCTTAAAGGTGCAGTAATCTCTTGCTCACCATCAGGGCCAGCTCTAGGCACCAGCAAACCAAGCATGTGCTTGGGGCGGCAGAATTCCAGGGGCGGCATTCCGGGTTGTGGTGGTGGTTGCGCTCTCTGAGGTTGTTTTTGTTTTTGTTATTTTTTTTGCTTGGGGCGGCAGAAAACCTAGAGCCGGCCCTGCTTCATTGGCCACAACTTTTGTTTAGATTTATAATGCACTTCAGCTTTATTTAAACAGTTTTCGCACCAATTTAACTGCATTTCTAAACCAGTATACTTAAATAGTGAAAAAAGAGTGTGTAAACAAGTCCTACTACGTAAAAAGAGCACTTATCCCAAGCTCAGGATGTTCTTGACAAACTTAAATATTTTTAATACATAAACTTTGTCGCTTACTAACAACACCAGCAACAACATGCATACAACAAAAAATTAATAAACCACCACCAGTATTTCCTCAGCCATCTTCCAGCTCCTGATGGGCCACGCAACATTCCCTAAAGGTTAACAAACTCTGACTGTTATGAACCTGCATGGGATGGACCCTAACACACTGCTCTGCCAACAGTCTCCCTTGATCTCTTACACAGTTTGAGCTGTAGCTCAGGCACCTCCAGTGATCGCAAATGATAACCATATAAAATAATGTAGTGGACTTTTGTGTGTTTATTTTTTAACCAGATTCTCCTTTTTAAAGTAAATCTATGCCATAATTACATCAGGATATGATAGAGTTGGATTTAATTGTGTAATGAAAATATAGCTAGAGCACAGTACTTGTAATTCTTTTACAGTGTACGCTGGATGATTCAACAATTGCACAATATCTGTATCCTTGATTTCGTTTTGTCTATGTGACTGAAGTGAAACATTAATAATTTTTTCTCAGTAAATTCATAAGATATCAGGCATTTGAACACAGTTGTTGGTGCATGATTGATTGAGTGTGCTGGAATTTCAAACTTTGCAGGGATAGCTTGTTAATTGCAGGTGATCAGTCTTATAGAGCCTTCAGCTTGTACTGAGGAAAGAAGCTAATAGTTTAACTCTTGAGTATTTGAAAAATATAGCTCAGGAAATTGATTCTGTACAACATAATGTTCATAATGGTCTCTTTCAATCTCAAAAGGTGTGGTTGTAGATGCAGAAGTGTCCCTCAATACTCTTTTTCCCAC